ATGTTTGTCAGAGTTCTGTTTAGCTACCTAAGACAAAGCCCTCTGTTTGTCAGAGATGTGTTAAGCAACCTAAGACAAAGCCCTCTGTTTGTCAGTGTTATGTTTAGCTACCTAAGACAAAGCCCATTGTATGTCAGTGTTATGTTTAGCTACCTAAGACAAAGCCCACTGTTTGTCAGAGTTCTGTTTAGCTACCTAAGACAAAGCCCATTGTTTGTCAGAGATGTGTTTAGCTACCTAAGATAAAGCCCATTGTTTGTCAGTGTTATGTTTAGCTACCTAAGACAAAGCCCATTGTTTGTCAGAGATGTGTTTAGCTACCTAAAACAAAACCTACTGTTTGTCAGTGTTATGTTTAGCTACCTAAGACAAAGCCCATTTTTTGTCAGTGTTATGTTTAGCTACCTAAGACAAAGCCCATTGTTTGTCAGAGATGTGTTTAGCTACCTAAGACAAAGCCCTCTGTTTGTCAGTGTTATGTTTAGCTACCTAAGACAAAGCCCATTGTTTGTCAGTGTTATGTTTAGCTACCTAAGACAAAGCCCATTGTTTGTCAGTGTTATGTTTAGCTACCTAAGACAAAGCCCATTGTTTGTCAGCGTTATGTTTAGCTACCTAAGACAAAGCCCATTGTTTGTCAGTGTTATGTTTAGCTACCTAAGACAAAGCCCACTATTTGTCAGAGATGTGTTTAGCTACCTAAGACAAAGCCCACTGTTTTTCAGAGATGTGTTTAGCTACCTAAGACAAAGCCCACTGTTTGTCAGTGTTATGTTTAGCTACCTAAGACAAAGCCCACTGTTTGTCAGAGATGTGTTTAGCTACCTAAGACAAAGCCCATTGTTTGTCAGTGTTATGTTTAGCTACCTAAGACAAAGCCCACTGTTTGTCAGTGTTATGTTTAGCTACCTAAGACAAAGCCCCCTGTTTGTCAGAGATGTGTTTAGCTACCTAAGACAAAGCCCACTGTTTGTCAGTGTTATGTTTAGCTACCTCGGACAAAGCCCACTGTTTGTCAGAGATGTGTTTAGCTACCTAAGACAAAGCCCACTGTCAGAGATGTGTTTAGCTTCCTCGGACAAAGTTCACTGTTTGTCAGAGTTCTGTTTAGCTACCTAAGACAAAGCCCACTGTTTGTCAGAGATGTGTTAAGCTACCTAGGACAAAGCCCACTGTCAGAGATGTGTTTAGCTACCTAAGACAAAGCCCTCTGTTTGTCAGAGTTCTGTTTAGCTACCTAAGACAAAGCCCTCTGTTTGTCAGAGATGTGTTAATCTACCTAAGACAAAGTTCACTGTTTGTCAGAGATGTGTTAAGCAACCTAAGACAAAGCCCTCTGTTTGTCAGTGTTATGTTTAGCTACCTAAGACAAAGCCCATTGTTTGTCAGTGTTCTGTTTAGCTACCTAAGACAAAGCCCACTGTTTGTCAGAGATGTGTTTAGCTACCTAAGACAAAGCCCACTGTTTGTCAGAGATGTGTTTAGCTACCTAAGACAAAGCCCACTGTTTGTCAGTGTTATGTTTAGCTACCTAAGACAAAGCCCACTGTTTGTCAGTGTTATGTTTAGCTACCTAAGACAAAGCCCACTGTTTGTCAGAGATGTGTTTAGCTACCTAAGACAAAGCCCACTGTTTTTCAGTGTTATGTTTAGCTACCTAAGACAAAGCCCACTGTTTGTCAGTGTTATGTTTAGCTACCTAAGACAAAGCCCACTGTTTGTCAGTGTTATGTTTAGCTACCTAAGACAAAGCCCATTGTTTGTCAGTGTTATGTTTAGCTACCTAAGACAAAGCCCATTGTTTGTCAGTGTTATGTTTAGCTACCTAAGACAAAGCCCACTGTTTGTCAGTGTTCTGTTTAGCTACCTAAGACAAAGCCCACTGTTTGTCAGTGTTCTGTTTAGCTACCTAAGACAAAGCCCACTGTTTGTCAGAGATGTGTTTAGCTACCTAAGACAAAGCCTATTGTTTGTCAGTGTTATGTTTAGCTACCTAAGACAAAGCCCACTGTTTGTCAGTGTTCTGTTTAGCTACCTAAGACAAAGCCCACTGTTTGTCAGTGTTATGTTTAGCTACCTAAGACAAAGCCCATTGTTTGTCAGTGTTATGTTTAGCTACCTAAGACAAAGCCCACTGTTTGTCAGAGATGTGTTTAGCTACCTAAGACAAAGCCCATTGTTTGTCAGTGTTATGTTTAGCTACCTAAGACAAAGCCCACTGTTTGTCAGAGATGTGTTTAGCTACCTAAGACAAAGCCCATTGTTTGTCAGTGTTATGTTTAGCTACCTAAGACAAAGCCCACTGTTTGTCAGTGTTCTGTTTAGCTACCTAAGACAAAGCCCACTGTTTGTCAGTGTTATGTTTAGCTACCTAAGACAAAGCCCATTGTTTGTCAGAGATGTGTTTAGCTACCTAAGACAAAGCCCATTGTTTGTCAGTGTTATGTTTAGCTACCTAAGACAAAGCCCACTGTTTGTCAGAGTTCTGTTTAGCTACCTAAGACAAAGCCCACTGTTTGTCAGTGTTATGTTTAGCTACCTAAGACAAAGCCCACTGTTTGTCAGAGATTAGCTACCTAAGACAAAGCCCATTGTTTGTCAGTGTTATGTTTAGCTACCTAAGACAAAGCCCACTGTTTGTCAGAGATGTGTTTAGCTACCTAAGACAAAGCCCACTGTTTGTCAGTGTTCTGTTTAGCTACCTAAGACAAAGCCCATTGTTTGTCAGTGTTATGTTTAGCTACCTAAGACAAAGCCCATTGTTTGTCAGAGATGTGTTTAGCTACCTAAGACAAAGCCCTCTGTTTGTCAGTGTTATGTTTAGCTACCTAAGACAAAGCCCACTGTTTGTCAGAGATGTGTTTAGCTACCTAAGACAAAGCCCATTGTTTGTCAGTGTTATGTTTAGCTACCTAAGACAAAGCCCATTGTTTGTCAGTGTTATGTTTAGCTACCTAAGACAAAGCCCACTGTTTGTCAGAGATGTGTTTAGCTACCTAAGACAAAGTCCATTGTTTGTCAGTGTTATGTTTAGCTACCTAAGACAAAGCCCACTGTTTGTCAGTGATGTGTTTAGCTACCTAAGACAAAGCCCATTGTTTGTCAGTGTTATGTTTAGCTACCTAAGACAAAGCCCATTGTTTGTCAGAGATGTGTTTAGCTACCTAAGACAAAGCCCACTGTTTGTCAGTGTTATGTTTAGCTACCTAAGACAAAGCCCATTGTTTGTCAGAGATGTGTTTAGCTACCTAAGACAAAGCCCATTGTTTGTCAGTGTTATGTTTAGCTACCTAAGACAAAGCCCATTGTTTGTCAGAGATGTGTTTAGCTACCTAAGACAAAGCCCATTGTTTGTCAGAGATGTGTTTAGCTACCTAAGACAAAGCCCATTGTTTGTCAGTGTTATGTTTAGCTACCTAAGACAAAGCCCATTGTTTGTCAGAGATGTGTTTAGCTACCTAAGACAAAGCCCACTGTTTGTCAGAGATGTGTTTAGCTACCTAAGACAAAGCCCATTGTTTGTCAGTGTTATGTTTAGCTACCTAAGACAAAGCCCATTGTTGACTGACTTAAGGTGTTTAGACACGACCTAGTCTTGTCAGAGATGTGTTTAGCTACCTAAGACAAAGCCCATTGTTTGTCAGAGATGTGTTTAGCTACCTAAGACAAAGCCCACTGTTTGTCAGTGTTATGTTTAGCTACCTAAGACAAAGCCCACTGTTTGTCAGTGTTATGTTTAGCTACCTAAGACAAAGCCCACTATTTGTCAGAGATGTGTTTAGCTACCTAAGACAAAGCCCACTGTTTATCAGTGTTATGTTTAGCTACCTAAGACAAAGCCCACTGTTTGTCAGTGTTCTGTTTAGCTACCTTAAGGGATTATTCCCCAGGAGATATCATACAACAGCTTCATTTATGTACTTTATATCTTTGCTGTAATCTACGAAGACAGACTGGAAATTTCTTGGATAGTAAAACTAGCAGGTCTCGTGTTAGCAGCACCACTATAAAGGTAATTGCTGCAAAGATATCATTCTGAACATATTGATTTCTGGGAGAGGCGTGAGCTACAGTGGTAGTTAAGGCATTCCATAGACACGATCTAGGATTGTTAGTCTTCTAACAGTTCACTGTGACTGACTTAAGTTAGAGTGTTCTATAGACACGACCTAGTCTTCTAACAGTTCACTGTGACTGACTTAAGTTAAGGTGTTCCATAGACACGACCTAGTCTTCTAACAGTTCACTGTGACTGACTTAAGTTAAGGTGTTCCATAGACACGACCTAGTCATCTAACAGTTCACTGTGACTGACTTAAGTTGTTACTTAGACAAGACCTAGTCATCTAACAGTTCACTGTGACTGTCTTAAGTTGTTACTTAGACACGGCCTAGTCTTCTAACAATTCACTGTGACTGACTTAAGTTAAGATGATACTTAGACAGACCTAGACTTCTAACAGTTCACTGTGACTGACTTAAGTTAAGGTATTACTTAGACACGACCTAGTCTTCTAACAGTTCACTTTGACTGACTTAAGTTAAGGTGATCCTTAGACACGACCTAGGATTGCTAGTCAAGGAAAGTTCTGTCAGTGTCTGCAGTCTGTGGCGTTAATCCAGTGTCAAAAGCATCCATCACATTACACCAGTAAAGAGATGATTCAAGAAATAAACATTGACTGTACTTTGTAGGAATAATAAAGCTTGAAATTTATACCAATCAAGTTCAATTTCCAGAAAGGCTTGATCAATCAGAAAATGTTGTCCACTTGGGACCAAAAATTTGAGCCCTTGAAGGAAAGTAGTAACTAGATGTACATGTTCTATGCCAGTAAATGTTTGATACTGTCAAAATCCCTTAAGTCAATCTAAAAAAGTAGTCTTTTTAAGAAATATTTAAAGTTTCACCTTTTTTTGCATAAACGTCACATTCCATTTATATTCAGGTCGTATTTTCCATATTTATAGAATATTAATGAAGTGGTCAGGGTACTTACCTCCGCGTCCAGTTTGACTGGTCTCAGGCCACGTGATGTAGTTCCATGTTTCTATATAAAACACAAAGAAAAATATATCATTATCAGTATTCTAATAGAAAAATCATATAGTATTACATGTAAGTACCAACCACCAGCAAATATTTACAACCTCTTGGTACAATAAAGCCTTAATATCATTATCTTATACTAAAGCCTTATATCACTCTCTCACAATAAAACCTTATATCACTCTATCACAATAAAGCCTTATATCACTTTCTCTCACAATAAAGCCTTATATCACTCTCTCACAATAAAGCCTTATATCATTCTCTCACAATAAAGCCTTATTATCACTCTCTCACAATAAAGCCTTATATCACTCTATCACAATAAAGCCTTATATCACTCTATCACAATAAAGCCTTATATCACTCTCTCACAATAAAGCCTTATATCACTCTATCACAATAAAGCCTTATATCACTCTCTCACAATAAAGCCTTATATCACTCTATCACAATAAAGCCTTATATCATTCTCTCACAATAAAGCCTTATATCACTCTCTCACAATAAAGCCTTATATCACTCTCTCACAATAAGGCCTTATATCACTCTCTCACAATAAAGCCTTATATCACTCTCTCACAATAAAGCCTTATTATCACTCTCTCACAATAAAGCCTTATATCACTCTCTCACAATAAAGCCTTATATCACTCTCTCACAATAAAGCCTTATATCACTTTCTCTCACAATAAAGCCTTATATCACTCTCTCATAATGAAATTTTATATCACTCTCTCACAATAAAGCCTTATATATCATATCTCTCACAATACAGCCTTATATCACTCTATCACAATACAGATTTATATCTTTGTCTGGATATCACTCGTGATATCTTTCTCTCTCAATAAAGCCTTATATCATTCTCTCACAATAAAGCCTTATATCACTCTATCACAATAAAGCCTTATATCATTCTCTCATAATGAAATTTTATATCACTCTCTCACAATAAAGCCTTATATCATTCTCTCATAATGAAATTTTATATCACTCTATCACAATAAAGCCTTATATCACTCTATCACAATAAAGCCTTATATCACTCTCTCACAATAAGGCCTTATATCACTCTCTCACAATAAAGCCTTATATCATTCTCTCACAATAAAGCCTTATTATCACTCTCTCACAATAAAGCCTTATATCACTCTCTCACAATAAAGCCTTATATCATTCTCTCACTATGAAGCCTTATATCATTCTCTCATAATAAAGCCTTATACCACTTTCTCACAATAAAGCTTCATGTCACTCTCTCACAATAAAGCCTTATATCACTCTATCACAATAAAGCCTTATATCATTCTCTCATAATGAAATTTTATATCACTCTCTCACAATAAAGCCTTATTATCACTTTCTCTCACAATAAAGCCTATCACTTTCTCTCACAATAAAGCCTTATATCATTCTCTCACAATAAAGCCTTATTATCACTCTCTCACAATAAAGCCTTATTATCACTCTCTCACAATAAAGCCTTATATCACTCTATCACAATAAAGCCTTATATCACTCTCTCACAATAAAGCCTTATATCACTCTCTCACAATAAAGCCTTATATCACTCTCTCACAATAAAGCCTTATATCACTCTCTCACAATAAAGCCTTATATCACTCTCTCACAATAAGGCCTTATATCACTCTCTCACAATAAAGCCTTATATCACTTTCTCTCACAATAAAGCCTTATATCACTCTCTCACAATAAAGCCTTATATCACTCTCTCACAATAAAGCCTTATATCACTTTCTCTCACAATAAAGCCTTATATCACTTTCTCTCACAATAAAGCCTTATATCACTCTATCACAATAAAGCCTTATATATCTCACAATAAAGCCTATTCTCTCACAATAAAGCTTATATCACTCTCTCACAATAAAGCCTTATATCACTCTCTCACAATAAAGCCTTATATCACTCTATCACAATAAAGCCTTATATCATTCTCTCACAATAAAGCCTTATTATCACTCTCTCACAATAAAGCCTTATATCATTTTCTCACAATAAAGCCTTATATCACTTTCTCTCACAATAAAGCCTTATTAACATTCTCTCACAATAAAGCCTTATAATCACTCTCTCACAATAAAGCCTTATATCACTCTCTCACAATAAAGCCTTATATCACTCTCTCACAATAAAGCCTTATATCACTCTCTCTCTCACAATAAAGCCTTATATACTCTCTCAGCCTCTCTCACAATAAAGCTTCATATCACTCTCTCACAATAAAGCCTTATATCACTCTATCACAATAAAGCCTTATATCATTCTCTCACAATAAAGCCTTATATCACTCTCTCACAATAAAGCCTTATATCACTCTATCACAATAAAGCCTTATATCATTCTCTCACAATAAAGCCTTATTATCACTCTCTCACAATAAAGCCTTATATCACTCTATCACAATAAAGCCTTATATCACTCTCTCACAATAAAGCCTTATATCACTTTCTCTCACAATAAAGCCTTATATCACTCTCTCACAATAAAGCCATCACTCTATCACAATAAAGCCTTATATCACTCTCTCACAATAAAGCCTTATATCACTCTATCACAATAAAGCCTTATATCACTTTCTCTCACAATAAAGCCTTATATCATTCTCTCACAATAAAGCCTTATATCATTCTCTCACAATAAAGCCTTATATCATTCTCTCACAATAAAGCCTTATATCATTCTCTCACAATAAAGCCTTATATCACTCTATCACAATAAAGCCTTATATCACTCTATCACAATAAAGCCTTATATCATTCTCTCACAATAAAGCCTTATATCACTCTCTCACAATAAAGACTTATATCACTCTCTCACAATAAAGCCTTATATCTTTCTCTCACAATAAAGCCTTATATCACTTTCTCTCACAATAAAGCCTTATATCACTCTCTCACAATAAAGCCTTATATCACTTTCTCTCACAATAAAGCCTTATATCACTTTCTCTCACAATAAAGCCTTATATCACTCTCTCACAATAAAGCCTTATATCACTTTCTCTCACAATAAAGCCTTTATATCACAATAAGGCCTTATATCACTCTCTCACAATAAAGCCTTATATCACTTTCTCTCACAATAAAGCCTTATATCACTCTCTCATAATGAAATTTTATATCACTCTCTCACAATAAAGCCTTATATCACTCTCTCACAATAAAGCCTTATATCACTCTCTCACAATAAAGCCTTATATCACTCTCTCACAATAAAGCCTTATACCACTCTCTCACAATAAAGCCTTATATCACTCTATCACAATAAAGCCTTATATCATTCTCTCACAATAAAGCCTTATATCACTCTCTCACAATAAAGCCTTATTATCACTCTCTCACAATAAAGCCTTATATCACTCTCTCACAATAAAGCCTTATATCACTCTCTCACAATAAAGCCTTATATCACTCTCTCACAATAAAGCCTTATATCATTCTCTCACAATAAAGCCTTATTATCACTCTCTCACAATAAAGCCTTATTATCACTCTCTCACAATAAAACCTTATATCATTCTCTCACAACTGCAGAAAAATACTGATGTCTGAGAATCATGAGTAAAATCTACAACAATATGATTATAATACTTTACATTCTAAATAGATTAGTAATCATAGAAAAGGAGAGTAATCACACTGATACTTTGATGTGAATCTAGAATTTACACTCTCCTCCTTCAGTCTCCATAGAACTCATCCATTATCATGCAAGTTTATGTTTCACTGTCCTTATTGAGCTTTTCATGTCTTGTTTAAAAAATAATTAAAACATTAAAATAACAGATGTCTCAACAAAATGCCCATAAAATACATGCTTTGATGCCTCCTTTATCTTGGTTTTACGTAATTTCATAAGATCTCCTCACATGCCAGGTATGTGGGTGATCACGATACGTTTTAACTATTAATCTCAGGTGATAGGTGTTTATATCATAATATCAGGTGATAGAACATATGTTTATATCATAATATCAGGTGAAAGAAGGTGTTTATATTATAATATCAGGTCATAGAACATATGTTTATATCATAATATCAGGTGATAGAAGGTGTTTATATCATAATATCAGGTGATAGAAGGTGTTTATATCATAATATCAGGTGATAGAAGGTGTTTATATCATAATATCAGGTGGTAGAACATATGTTTATATCATAATATCAGGTGATAGAAGGTGTTTATATCATAATATCAGGTGATAGAAGGTGTTTATATCATAATATCAGGTGATAGAAGGTGTTTATATCATAATATCAGGTGATAGAAAGTGTTTATATCATAATATCAGGTGATAAAAGGTGTTTATATCATAATATCAGGTGATAGAAGGTGTTTATATCATAATATCAGGTGATAGAAGGTGTTTATATCATAATATCAGGTGATAGAACATATGTTTATATCATAATATCAGGTGATAGAAGGTGTTTATATCATAATATCAGGTGATAGAAGGTGTTTATATCATAATATCAGGTGATAGAACATATGTTTATATCATAATATCAGGTGATAGAGGGTGTTTATATCATAATATCAGGTGATAGAAGGTGTTTATATCATAATATCAGGTGGTAGAAGGTGTTTATATCATAATATCATGTGATAGAAGGTGTTTATATCATAATATCAGGTGACAGAAGGTGTTTATATCATAATATCAGGTGATAGAAGGTGTTTATATCATAATATCAGGTGATAGAACATATGTTTATATCATAATATCAGGTGAAAGAAGGTGTTTATATTATAATATCAGGTGATAGAAGGTGTTTATATCATAATATCAGGTGATAGAAGGTGTTTATATCATAATATCAGGTGGTAGAAGGTGTTTATATCATAATATCAGGTGATAGAAGGTGTTTATATCATAATATCAGGTGGTAGAAGGTGTTTATATCATAATATCAGGTGATAGAAGGTGTTTATATCATAATATCAGGTGATAGAAGGTGTTTATATCATAAT